GACTGAAGCAGCTAAGAACCTGATGGACGGTGTTATCCCTCATAAGGGAACTTAGCTTATAGTCCCATGAGTGAACTGATGAAATGGGTGACCCCAACCAAGAGTGGGAATAAATAGAGGAAGTCTGAGTCATGGGGGAAAGGGTGAGCTGTGTGTTTGCTGCAGTGTGTTTGAGACACCTGCCTACACCTGGAGGAGCAGCCTGGCTAGAGGAGATGGATCTTGAAGGCAGGATATGGGGTCTAATTTACCTGAGAACACAGGCAGTCGGTAGAGTGAAAAGAACACCGAAACTCATTAGAGCTAACTCCAAGTGGGGTCTAATTATAAAGACACATGGAAGCTCTTGGGAACTGGGACATCCTGGGGCTGGTAACCTTTCCATCTCTCTTGGGCCACACAATCTTCAGGCTGTCTTCGCCTCTCCCTGCATTTCCACTCCATTCTCTGCTACCAGCCAGAGTCTTCTGCATCTCAAGAAAAGACTGGCCCCAGCTCATCTATTCACAGGTTACTGGCCAGTCAGCGTAGTTGAGTGGTGGCAGGGTCATTGTTAAGAAAGCTTGGCCGCCAGACCATCCTTCAGCATAGGTGGGATAGTTCTACTTAGGAGTAGCTGTTGTCAGCTGACAAAGAATCTTTAAGATATTCTTATTCACCTTTGCCGAATCTAGAGTTCCTTCTCAAGTCATGCTAAGACTCTCAATGAGAAAAGAGATGACAGAATCAAAGAATGAAATGACTTCAGTTCTCTGGAGACAAGATGATGTGCTAGGCAGCCAAGGTGGGAAGTCTGTGTTATGACAGTTCTTAGCCAAGCCCTTCATTTTTGGTTGGAGCTCAGAATGTAGGCCCATTGTGTCACCACTCTTCTCTGGTTTTCCCATCCCTTTCTAGCCTGAACTTCTTCTCCAAGCTCATCGCCCTCTTGTGAGAAACACCTGTCATAGTGGAAAGAGCCTGGGCTCTCCACCCCACTCCTGTGTTCCAATCCTGGTGCTTCCAAATACCAGCTGTGTGCCCTTGGCAAGTTACTTCATCTTCCTGAGCCTCAGCGTCTTCAAGAACATGTGTACAATTCGAGGGGCTCCTGGGTGGTGCAGCCGGTTAAGTGTCCGACTCTTGGTTTCGGCTCAGGTCGTGATCTCAGGGTCATGGGATCGAGCCCGGTGTTGGGTTCTGCACTCAGTGCAGAGTCTGCTTGAGATTCTCTCTCTCTGCCCCTCCCGCTCGTGCTCGCTCTCTCTCGAATAAATAAATCTTTAAAAAAAAAAAAAGGATACATATACAATTCTGTCTGATTGCATTCCCATCCCCTTACTGTCCCCATACCATACCCGTAAAATACGTGTGTATACCCGTGTCCTACAGATTGGCATTATAGACACTTACTTAATACTTGAGGAAACAGAAGAGAGTTGTGTGGCTGCCATTGTTTTACTCATTTCTCCAGATCCTTTCCTCTTTGTCTGTTGTAGAAACAGTCTTCCTGTAACTCCAGCTTCTTCACAGAATCCTCTGTATGTTTTCTTTCTCTAACTGGACCATCTGCCACGAACCTTCAGTCCTGAAGGGCTAGCTCTCTTCTCCCATGTTCTGCCCACTATAGGGGAAGGAAATGGTGCTGGCATCCCTTTGGTGTCTGGCTTCCACTCTTGTTCGTGAATCCCTGTCACACTGAATCCCATACCAGTGGGCTCTGTCAGTGCTTGTCACTGTTTTGCTACCATCTATGGCCATCTCTTCTGTGAGCATTTTGGAATCTGCTCAGATAACCTCCCACCCCAATTCACTCCATGTAGAGGTCGTCGGCTCTGAGCACCTGGTCCTCCCCACACAGCTGTGGGCTCCCCCTGCTGCTCCTCCTGGCGGCTGCCCCCATGCCTCCAGCAGAACGCCTTGCTGTCCTCTGGTGCACCAGGCTCTTGGCGAGGCAGTGGGGTGCAGACGTCGAAGCGGAGTTACGAGGTCCCTGCCCTCACTTTGCTGATATTCTTCCCTAGAAATCCTTTCTCTTTCCTTAGCATGTGTTCCTACACCCTTTACACAATGTCGAGCATTTCCCATCCTTAAAGCTGCATCTTTCTTCTTCCTGCATCCATTTTAGCTATCACCTGCCCGCTCATCTGGTCTTCTCTCTCCTTCCCCTGTATAGAGTTTTGGTCACTGCAGTTGGTGCCTACCACTGTACTAAAACTACTGAGGAGAAACCCCCAAAACCATGTCCGTTGAAAATCTCCTGTTCTTATTTTGTCCTCTATTTGACATTGTAGAGGACCAGTCACTTCTTCCTTAAAAAGTCTCCTTTCCCTCTGCTGCCATAACACAACCCCTCCTTCACGGTGCTTCAGTATTTCCCCCAGTCTCCTTTGCGTTCTTCTCCAGCACCTACACGCTTCGTGACTTTTCCTGTCTGCAATGTGGGTCTCTCCGGCAGTTCGCTCCTCAGCCGGCTTTTCTCCCTCCCTGCACACTCCCTGCCTGGTTTTAACCACACCCGTGTTTTTGTCCCCACTTTTACAGGGGAGTCCTGAGGCTCCAGCAGGCCCAGCATGGAGCTGTCATTGGCCCTGCCCTTCCCCTGCACCCCTTCCCCTGCACCCCTCTGCCCTGCACCCCTCTTCCCCCTGCACCCCTCTTCCCCCTGCACCCCCTCTTTCCCCTGCACCCCTCTTCCCCTGCACCCCCTCTTTCCCCTGCACCCCTCTTCCCCTGCACCCCTCTTCCCTGCAGCCCTTCCCCTGCACCCCTTTCCCCTGCACCCCTCTTCCCCTCTTCCCCTGCACCCCTTCCCCTGCACCCCTCTTCCCCTGCACCTCTTCCCCTGCACCCCTCTTCCCCTGCACCCCTCTTTCCCCTGCACC